TGTACTCATATATAGTCACATGTAGTCATATATAATCAATCATATGTAGTCATATACAAGTAGTCATATATAGTCACATGTTGTCATATAGATGTAGTCATATATAGTCACATGTAGTAATATATAGTCACATGTAGTCATGTACATGTAGTCGTATATAATCATATGTAGTCATATACAAGTAGTCATATATAGTCATATGTTGTCATATAGATGTAGTCATATATAGTCACATGTAGTAATATATAGTTATATATTAGTTATGTGGTTTTTCTGATGTATAGTGATGTTGGTGTTTTTCTAATTCTTTTGTTGGGTACTAATTGATTTATAATATCAAGTTCCAAATTGTGAATTTTGTTGATGTAGACAAAGTTCTTTTTTTATATATAATCAACCGTCTACATAATCGTCTGACCGTAATTTTGGTGTAAAAAATAGTTCATGACTACATATAATTATACTAGTATATTATAATCATTTATAGTTAATTTATGTACAGGAAAATTATTGAGTAAATAATTTAGAAACTAATATAAGAAAAATAAAAAAAATAAAAATAAAAAAAAATAAAAAAAAAATAATTAAAATAATTAAAAGAAAAGTAAAAGAAAAGTAAAAGAAAATTAAAAAATAAAAAAAATATAAAAAGGTATATATATAAAAAAAAAGATAATAAAATAAACATTTATTAAAAAAATCTGTAAAGATGGTAAATGCAGGTCAAAAATGCTAAAATGCAGTTGGTGGAAATGCTGACTGCAGTTGGTGGAAATGCTGAATGCAGTTGGGTGGAAATTGAACATAAGGGCCCAATAGTACGTTTACCTCTCCAGGGGTTATCTCAAAGAAAGAATTTTAGGGGTGGACCTAGCCCTATATAAGTTGCTTATGAGGGGTGTATATCAAATGGGCCCTTTTAATTATTGACAAAGCTCTTCACAAGAGGACAAAAATACATTAGTAAATCAAAAATTTTAATTTGTTGATTTCAAATTACAAATATACTTTTGCAAAGGGTTTAAGTAAGGCATAAGCAATTAATAAAATTAGTAAATGATTACAATATAACTTTAAACAACTTGTTCGCAAATATTAACATTTGCGTATATTTTAATAACACGTGTTGATTTTTAATAGAAACGCAGATTCAAACGTTTAACAAAAGTTTGGACAAATAAATATAGATTGCCCAGAAGTTAACAAATTGAAACTTATTAATATATATATATATATATATATATATATATATATATATATATATATATATATATATATATATATATATATATATATATATATATATATATATATATATATATATACGCGTGGGCCACCCAAAGAAACCCATATGATATATTTGTAATTTTTTTTCTATTTTTATCA